GGGATTAATGGCAACATGTCTTGTACTGTAATAATTTTTTAATTTTTTAATTTAAACATTCACTGTATTGTTTGATCACACCTCGTATCTAGGCTTTCATTTTGCCACTTTCTTCCTCAAGCCTAGTCTAAGGAAAAAACTACCAAACAATACAGGCCCGTCTACAACATTCTATAACTACTGATCCATTAGGGGCTCAAAACTGTAATGAACCCTGGGTCTCTATTTTAAGCATATCATTAGAAAATAATTCAAAATTGACACCTCCGAAATCTGACCAAGTTGTGTCAAAGATTTCAGAGGTGTTTGTATCCATAGCCTAAAGAAATAGTTATGGGTGGCTAAAAGGATTTTGATAACATTACCTTAATCACAACAAATTGCAAACATCCCAAATGTTAAATAATGGATTATTAAATACATGCAGTACAAGTATATTCTCCAATATTATGCAATATTTAAAGATATATTTCAAAAGTAATTAAGTGGAAGAACAGTTATGATATAATAAGTGGAAAGATACAATGTTATCAAACAATAGAATATGATAGCATTTACTAAAACTATATACATAAAGATATTAAAATGGTAGTAACAACGGTGAATACTGAATAATGATAATCTACAATATGTAAATTTTCTTTCTTTTTTCTAAATCAAATTTCTAATTTTCCCATATTGTACTTGTATTTCTTTTATAAGAAAATAATCTATCTTTATGATTTTTTAAAGGAAAAAATAACACAGGGTCACCATTTGCAGCTTAAAATATGTATGGGGTCATGCATAGCCTGTATCTTGGCCCTTCCCCTTCGTGCTGATTTAATTTTCATTTTTTGGCCATCCTCCCCAGTAGATTTAATGCTTCTTGGAAGGAAGGAGGCCATATCTATTAGTAGACATTATAGCAATTGCTACAATATAGGTAATCAATACATACAAGACAAAAATCATGAAATTAAAATATATTTGTTCACATCAAGAAATAAAATTATTTTGATAATTTTTGGATANTAAACAAGATCTGAGGCTATAATTCTATGAAATTATCAAGTATTTTATTACTTACAGCTTGAAAATTCCAGTGGACAAGAATGTTCATCCATTGGAAAGTTATGAAGCTGCAGATAACATTCTGCATTAATTGTCAATCTATTTGGATGGAAAAATAAATATTAAAAATAGAAAGAATTTCAAGCATTGAAAATCTTTTCTCTAATTTTCAAACATAGTTTTGGCCTACATAATGGACTGTAATACATTAGAAAACAATAATTCTAAAATCTCAAAGTCTTAAGTGATAATATTATTACATTTATAAAAATGAGTGAGAAAATTCTAACATTTTCCTCTCCAGCCAACTAAGCCACCTCTGTGTGCATTTAGAATAATCTTTGTTTGCAGTTAAAAACCTGTACTTCAGAAGCTCAATAAACACACATGTGCATGCACACACACATACAGCAGAGGGTACATGGTTAAGTATGGAGTTTCTTCCTCTTAGTTTATTTATCATAAACATCTTCCCATTAAGGATTACTCTTAATAACAGATGTGTTCAAGACAATGAATTAAATAAACCTAAATCTTACACATCAACATTCATTTAATCCTTCTGTAAGGATGTTTCATTATATCATTAAAAATCACAGTGTTACCTGGAGCTTAAATAAGTGTTTCCAAAATATTGAGCCATTTTATTTAGATTTTAGTGTATGAAAGGAGGTCCATATTTCTTACTTTGCAACTTTGAAAAAGGGAAATTTATGAGTTGATCAAATGTTAGTATGAAAAATAAATTAGAGCAATTACATTTTTTCAAAACAGTGTTACCTTAGAGTATATAGAACTCGTCCATCATTCCAAATCCGAAGCAAACGATTGGGAGTGGTTATCCAATGAGCATCAGATTTTCTTGAGTTTCTGAAGAAAGTGTCAGGGATCCAAATTTTTCCAACCATATTACTGTTAAGCATAAGCACTTTCATGGTACTATTGAATTTTAAACGACTATCAAACCAAGTTTGAGCAAAAATTATATCAATTGTGTATTCCTAAAAGATAAAAAGAAGAGTAATGACTTATAATAATAAAGCCGCATTTCAGTTGTTTTCTTTAAACATTTGAATTTTTATATCATAAA